TAAAAAATCTATCCCAAACAAGTCTCTAGTATGATTTTGCTACAAAAATGAGATTCGCATTGAGTTGGCTCATAAGCTTACTTATAAGGAGAGAAAGTATAAAGATTCGTACTTCTCTGTAATAAGAGAAAGGGACTGTAGTTCCTGTTACTAATTCACTTTTGCATTACTATTACAGAAAATGCTCTCTTTGGATCCGAGCAGAAGAATCACTGCGAGAAGTGCCCTTGAGCACGAGTACTTAAAGGATATTGGGTTTGTCCCCTAATTCCGGTACTCCTCATCCTCGTGTAAATGAGAATTGTGATTATTTTTAGGCTTTATTATATCTGATATGTGTGGTCTGTAGGTGAAAATTATCCGGATTTGATTCATTGACACATTCAACATCTGAGTGGCATGAGGCACAGCAATCCTTGAATTCATAGTGTTAGGCTTTTCCTGTTATTTTTATATTTTTATACTTTTTTCTGTTTTAAGTTTCAGTGTGATGAATATTGGCTTTTATTCTCCTTTTCAATAGATTGAACTTCTGGACTGTTTATTCATTTAAAAACACTATATTTGGAATCAGGAGACCAACTCATCTCTATGTGGCCTTAGCGGATGTGTTTCATCCGAATAGTGCTATTCACCAACTGTGCTGATGATTAGCATCTAATGTGGCAGTGGATCAGGTTACAATAGCATTACTATTTTCATTTACTCGATCCTTAGTAGCCTTTCGATGAATTTTCCTTTCAAAATGGAGATGATTATATAGCACTATTCTTTCAGAAAGAGTGCTCAGTAAATTGAAGAAGTTAATTATATTGAAAAATTATTCTCGATCCCAATATAGAAGCAAGTCAAGCAATCTCATGGGCGAGAATGAATTCAACTATTAATTGTATCGTTTCTACAAGAATGTTATTCGATAAGCGAAAATGAAATTGGTTGAAGATTGATATTGTTTTTAAGATTTTTGAGGAACTTTTGAAAGTTCAATTTCAAAAAGGGTCAGAGCGACCATCAATTATTATCAACTGAGAATTGAGATTGTTGTCTCTTCCATTATTTTGGTAATGAGAAACATTTTGATCAAGTCTATGTCTCGATCATGTTAATGAACTATTTATAA